AAGAGGAAGGATGAACCCAAAACCTTTGCTGTCCTTAACGCACATGCTGAAAGTATATTACATTGCATGATGTTACTTCATCTGGATTTCAAATGTTTGACATTTAACTCCTACTTGTTTGAGAATTGCTGGCAATATTTGCATGCAGATTTGTAAAGGCAGAGAGTAGCCTCCAGTTTTCCAGGTCAGTGCAGTAGCAGTAGGTAGGAACGAGGGGAGAGAAGCTGCTGTAGCTGTTGAGACTGCGGCGTGCGCTTCAACCTGGCTGCTGGACTGTTCACACAATTCAGTGTTTTGTGGCTGAGYGTGCAAGGTGAAAGCAGCTCTGAACTAGTCTCTTTAAGGACCTTTAAATCTGCAGTTAAGTGGCATGTGTCTTGCCTTTGCCTTCTGTGGGCCTTCGTTTTCAGGATTGGAGTTCAAAACATAGAGACTATTTCATTCTTTCTCTGTGACACTCACTGCACTTCCCCCTTCCCCCTCCCTGCCTCATATTTAATTTTATAGTTCTTTCAGACATAAACATGAAAAAAAAAAGCAATTTTGACTTAGTTTCTGAGTGTTGCTGCAAAGAAAAGTAACAAACATCTGTTTTTACCTTAACTGCATCCATATGTTCAACCTCCCCATCACCCTCCTTCCCCAAAAATTTACAGCCGTATTTGGTGGGTACTGCATACTGTTGAATTAACTTTCTTCACAGTTAAATTGGAGGGTAAATTCAGAGACTGAAAATGTCTGTGCGAAGCACAGAAAATTTTAGGAGTGGGATAAGGTGGTAATCAGATAACTTTTTAACTTGTGAAACTTGCGTGATACTTTCGTATTTGTAAATTAATGTGTAAGAAACAATATTTATCATATAAATATGTGGTTAGTGATGCATATTATGCAGATTACTGTAGAGGATTAGTTAGCTTGTTTCCTTTTATTACTTCTGGTTGTAGCATCTGGAACAATTCTGGCCTTACCGAAGTTTTGTTCCTGGGGAGAGTTAACAGTCAGAAAGATGCTTTAGTGAGATGTTTGAGAAGCAGTGACACACAATGTTGAATGCTACTGACTTTTACTTCAAGGTATGCAGCACGCTTTCAGAGATAGGAGTGTGTGGTACTAAACTTTCAGACAAAGATTTTTCTTTCCAATTACCTGGTACCTTTAGGAAAAGTTATGCTAGTTATGCAATTTTCCCATGTATTTGTGCCTCCAATAATTTACATTCTTAAATGCTCTAGGGAAATTCGGCAATGTGAGAATACATAAGCCCTCCTCTGCCACTTGAAGAGCTGGCCGTCTCTTAGTAATACTGACCAATGCTGTGAATAAGTTTTCAGGAAAATGARGTTAGAATCTGGGCTGTAATTTATCAGAAAGTGAGTTGATGACTTGCTCASTGATGGTCAATTTATTGTATGTTCTCAGGTGAGTGGTAGGGTTTTTTACTTCAAAGGATGTATTAATTATCTCTCTGAGGAAAACATTGTCTGCTCCTAGCTGATTTCCTTTGACAGGTTGAACAAAAGTCTGAGTGACATGTGGTGGCTAAAAATGCCCTGTATTTCTCTTTCTCTTATGCAAATTGGAAGAGAAGGGATTGATTCTGGCCCTGCCATCACATGCTTTTGTGGATGGAGGGAGGTCCTCTTGCATCTTTACCTCCCTAAGAGACTGAGAGCTCATCCAAACGTGTACTCTTGATGCCTGGATTGATTTTGAGTGCAATCTGCAGGMGGAAATAATCATTTGGGGGTGCTAGTGCAATGTCTTGATCATAATGAAGAAGTCTTGAAAGCTAAGAAAAAAAATCTTTACTTTTCTCTTGGTAATTAAAAGGAATGTAAGAAGTTGTTGTTTTGCGGAAGCCTGGCTGCTGTGTCCACGTGTAATTGTCCAAGTGTTGGTATCCCTATTTGTACTCAGTAGTTTTGAAAATTTCTGTTGGCTTGTGGAAACTCTGCAGTAAGGAGAGCCAACACATATTCTGTGCATAGTTTTGTTGTTTTATCAAGCCTTTACTGCTCTACGTAGCACAGAATTGGAATTTTCCTAATTTCAGTGGCTAATAGGGAGGGAGGTGTCATGTGGGCTGTTGCATTCCTGGAAGCGTAGGCTCTCATGTTTCTRGGAGAACCAAATGGAATCTAATGAGTCTAAAAAATTTGCCTGTGCCTGAACTGTAAATCCAGAATTCTAGTTTGGCATCTGCTAGATCATAACATTGGATGCAGACAGTCTCTGTTAAAGATTGAAAATCAAATTTGATAAGGGATTTTCAGCAGGAGCATGAGGAGTGTGTGTGTGATCTGCATATCATGGTCTGCAGTTTTACCAATTGCTGCATAAAGCCAGTTGTGTGAAAATGGCCAGATTAGAGCAATGTCTATATGTTTGCAGGTTGAATGGATTACTTAATATTTGTTTTTAATATCCCAGAGGATTTCTGTGCTGCACTGAGGCTGGGTGGGAGAAGAATAACTACTTTCCTGCTGCTGTTGTGTGGTCCAGGAGTGCGATAATGTCTGGCATTGTGCGTGCTGAGCAGTGGGAGTGTAACMACGACTCTGCCAATTTTTATGTTGCTGGATAGCTGGGAGCTTCCCTGAGGGCTGGACTGTGGCAAACAGCTTTCTGACCACTGATCTTTCAGCAATTGAAGTAATYATAGCATCTGATTTTTGTTCAAAGTAGGTGTATGTGCTTGTTACAGTGATTGTACTTAAAGTCCTCTACACTTATACAGCATATCTTGAGTTTAATATTTCCTTAGTACTGATACKGAATAAGGGAGTATAATTTATAGAGGTAGCATGCTGTAATGGAAGTAGGAATTTAATACCAAATTTCACAAGCAAGACAAAACTGACCCCCTTTAAATACTGAACACAGAAATGGATACTTCCATATTGATTGTAGGGCAAAGTAAAAGGAGACTGACAAGTCTAAAGCTTATTATTTCCTATTCCTATCCATTAGATTTTTCCAGAGGACATGCATGGAGACATGCAGGCGTGCAAGAATGTTTTATTCATTTAGGGTAATAATTAGGAAATATTTGTAGGAAATAATAGATCCTATAGACTCTGTAGTAAAATTTTAACTTGAATCCAGGTTTGTTTTAACACTAGTCCTCTCTATTCTTCTGGTCTACTCTCATTGCAAAGGAGATTTCCTGTCTGCTACTAAAAATACTCCAATCAGCCTGCGAGTAAATGCAAGTAAATCCTTTTAATCTGGGCATTTTTGAGATGAGCACTTTCTTATGCAGACAGTAGAGTTGCTGAACAGTATGATGATGTTTTGCTTTATCTCTTGTGGGACCTCAAATTTTGTGCCCTTGAAGTGTCTAGCCAGAAGACACAGCATTGAATTTCAGCGGAGCTTCTCTAGCCGCTGCACTGATTGAGTTTAGCGGTTTYGTGAACATGCTCTTCCTCAGAAAGTTCTCACTGAATCTCAGCATTTGCATGATAAATTATGGTCAGATTTTTGACACAGTTGCTTATTCAGTAGTTCCAGCACCATAGGACTGCTTGAAGATTGTCATATTATGGTCAGATGTTAATTCAGCAGTTCTAGTACTACTGTAGGACTGCTTGAGGATTAAGGTGCTTCCCAGCGTGGGGAAGTGTGCAAAAATTTGCCCATGGAGTCGCTGAAGCTCTTATTCTGGAGAGTTTGGTATTTCAAAAACCTTTCCAAATGCGGTAAGCTCAAGTGTTTTGGATGGCAGGCTCAGAGCATGATTATTCTGATAACCTGAAAGCTTCAGTGCATTCTACTGTTGGTTTTGTTCTTTTTGTAGCAGGAGTGTTTTGTGCGTACTTGTAAACATCTTTATTGTTATATAAAAATAACTCATTTTAAGAATAAAATCAGTGTGTTCACGGTTTTTGCAAAATGATCATTTTCTTGAAAACTTTAATAGGCAGTAAAGCAGAACAGGCAATAGAAGGACACTTGAGGTAGGTTGAAATTGCTGAACCATAAAAAAGAATCTTGGAGAGAGCAAACATAATATTGTAAAAGCTACAGAAGTGATGAGTGGTTTTGTCTTTTCACGTTTAAGTGCTTCCCTTGAAACACTTGACAGGGGCCTGATTTTCTGGAGACTTCCTTTGAAAATAAGACTTGCTGATGCCTCACCTTAGGTACTCAACTTCACTAGACACTTTTGAGAAGTAGGGCTCAAAGTGCTGTCATACAACAGCAAAAACTGATGTATCTGCATATGCGAGCTGTTAGCCCCCACTAAGGGGAATTAGACTTCTCACAGAGAAAGATTCAAACTCAAGTGAATCGCTTCAGATTTTCTGGAGGATTAGAGTGGTCCTGTAAATATTGTAGGACCTTGGCTGATAATAAGGAACTCATTAAAATTTGGTTGTTTGAGTATTGTATTTAAGTTACTACTTAAAAAAAAAACAAACTTAAAAAAATGTGCTGCATCTTCAATTTCTTTTTTAGTTGTATGAAATACTACTCTTGCTATCGGTAGGTCAGTGCGTCCTAAAAATGTTTCATCTCTCTGAATAAAAATAAAAATATGAAATATGTCATTGTTGCTTTCATTGTAATTATTGAGAAGAAATGAGGAAATAGAGTTTAAATAAAAAGTAGAACACTTTCTTGGTACCTATAGGAACTTTTCAAAATTAGCTTTTGTTTCTAAGTTATGATGCAAACAGGATAAGCCAGTGTTAGAAAGGAAAAATGGAGCCAATAAAGAGGGTTTCTTATTATAATAGCTGGTTTCTGTTTAATATCATTGAGCAGGATGAGGTTTTGCAGAGTTTCTCATGGAAATAGCATCCACAGTACTAAAATGATTACCTCATTCTTAGTACCAGTGCCAAGCACTTAGCCCCACAGTGAACACACGGGGTTGATTTTCAACATGAAACAAGCCAGAAGTGTGGAATGACATTTTCAGGTGACAGTTATGGTTCTATTGCCTGTAATTAGCACCTCTTAACATGCAAACCTGCCTGTGCCCTCTCCAGGCGGTCGAGGCTCAAATACGAAGTTTTGGACAGACTCCTTCCCAACTGCTCATAGAACCACATCCTCCCAGAAGTTCGGCGATGCAGGTGGTAAGTGCCACRTTAAGTCTTTGTGACCAACCGTTTTACTTCGTCTGCTCTTTCCAAGTTGCCTTATCTGCGACTTTGCCCTTCTCTTTTGTGGCCACGGGGCTGTGTTATTAAGTGTAGCAGATGAGTTAAGAGTTTGCGGGTCTGTTAGTGTACACAGTCCTTTACTGTTATATTATTTATTGCTAAAAGGATTGTTTTGATTCCTAGTACAGCCATTTTTTTGTCAGTATATTCTAAGAACACTTCATCAGTTCATTTTGTTAATGCCATACCTGTACAGGTGAGAGCCAGTCATCGTGGACACAATTTAGTTAATCTTTGGCAGATTCCCCGAGAAGCATGGATTTAGGAGGTGGAACTTCCTTGTCTTTTCCCAGAGGCATAGGTTTTCCCCTAAACCCAGGATTACTAGGAATTCATGAGCTGAAACTTGCACAGCAAAGAATGTGACTAAATGTGTTTTGCAGTAAAGCTAGGGTGATAAAATCCAGGCAGGGAGCATTAACATGCTTTCCCTTTTACCTCTACTCGTGTCTAATATAATTTTATTATACAAACTATTATTTTATTACTGATTACTTTCCATATCACGTTGTGTGCAGTCCCGGGTCTAAAATATCATTTGTGTTGTCACAGATCCAGAACTAAGTATGTTAAGTGATACTGTGACAAGYGGAGCAAATGGTTTGCTAATTCACAACTTTTTCAAAAGGTTACATTCCCGTGCTGCTAAGACAGGCATTTTAGAATGAAATATAGAAGAGGAGATTTTCCTCTTGTTTGTTCTGTAAACTGGATATCCTGCTCTGTTGAACTAGGGTTATTAGATTAAAAACATACCTGAAAAGCAAGAGCATTTACAGAAGGTCTACAGAAACCTGAAAACGTTTGCGGTGTAGCCTCCAAAGCGTGTACCACAGGAGCCTAAGAGGTGTGAGCTTCCCTGCCAGCTGGAGCTGCCAGCCTGTCCCCAGTGTGAACATGCCAGGTGTCCTACGTGGGGCTCGCCCTGCCGAACGTCTGCGCCAGCTCTGTGGTGTTCCCTGGCTCTAGCTCTTGGGGTTGTTTGGGCTAATGTGCACCCAGAAACAAAACCATAGTCCTCCACTTTAACCATTTTTGCAGTTATGAATGCATAAAACTTCTATAGTAGCAGTATTTTAAGCTTTTTTAAAGTAGTATTGACCTTCCCAATTGGGCTGAAATATAGCTAGGATGTTTTTTCATCACCTGTCTGAATGCTTTTCAGTTGCCTTATTTACTAAGTTTTTTTATTTTGGTGTTTGTGTGCCTGTACGCATGAGTACAACCAAATGGAAAGCTACCACGTGCTGTGTTAAGTGCACAAGCCATAATATACACCAGGTGTAGTAATTAGCAGTCACACGAAGGCTGCCTATTTGTCTGGTTTTGCTTCTGTTGCTGTATCCCCCTGTGTTTTCCACCATCAGATAGCTGGATTTAATTGAGGCCACATCAGATGAGGCATTACTGACACCTTTAATTGAATGAGCATCCAGGGAGGATTAACTCATAATATTGATTGGCTTTTAGCCACTTGCTCAGAAGGGTGTCTGGGTAGCTTATTAGGTTGCTTTTATTTACACCTTTATGCAAAGACTGTAAATAGGAATTCATAGAGCAATATGTTTTTTTAAGTACTCTTAATAACTTTTTAAAAAGGAGTGATAATAAAAATGCAAATGTATTTAATTTTTTTATTAGTTCTGTATAAATATACATTAAATGTATGCACTTACATACACCTATATGTAATGAAATATTGCAGGTGGAAAGTAGCCAAGAACACTTCATTAGTGTTCTAATAACTAATTCAGTTATTAGAAAAATGCAAATATGAGAGGAATATGGCTAACAGAAGCTAGGATGATTGTAGTTCTGCATCTTAATGGATTTCTCTTTTTCTTTGCTGTGCAGCACAGTCACAAACTCACCAAATTCTGATTCTTTCTGGTGTTTGACATCCAGATCTAAGATCCTTAACTTTGTGTTTCAACATTTGCAGTGTTGTTATTGATCCTACTTTAAAAGTTACTATTCCTATCTATTTATTAAATTTGAAAACTAAAACCCAAAAACACTGTGCTGAAAATGAGCCTGGATACATTCCTTCTCTTAAGTATTTCTAGAAACAGCATAGCATAGCAGAATGTCTGTGATCACGTCCACTTTATATTCTTTACAACTGTATTTAATTATGTTTGTCCTTTGAAACACATTTCAGTGAAGTCTTCTGCTTTGCATTCATAAATCTTATTTTTGTACACCAGAAATATATACAGAACATATATCTAGTGTATGTGTGTATCTGTTTATTTTAATGTGCTTTTATGTTCTCATCTGGCTTGTAAAGAATTGTAGTCTGCCAATTTAATGCAACTTGAGACAATCTCTGGGAGCAGGAATTTCTTTTGCTCACTTTTTTCTTTTTCAGTTCCCTCCTATTTTGGCACTGCTTTTCTTGACACGCTATCTCTGTAGATATGAAGGAGAACTCTTTTGGCAGAGACGGGCGATTGGAAAGTTTTAGTGTGATCTGCAGTGATGTGCAGTAAAGTTTGTGTACAGACACCCCTGTTTAGCATGGCTCTCGACTTACTTGTATATGTGGAAGAGGTCTCCCCAGAATGATTGTTCCGACTAGTCTGACTGCTGTTACTGCATTTGCTTTCACTGCAGCTGCTTTCACTGGAGCATGTGTATTTTAATCCAATCTTCCTTCTCTTGTCCCGTCCTGTCTTTTTTCTCTCCTCCCCATGTCTTCTCTTCCCACGTATTTGGGGTCTTGTTGTGTGCACTCAACAGTATCTCCTCCTGCAGAGCCCGTTGATGTTCACAGACCAAGCTCAACAGGATGTTATAATGGTTCTCAAGTTCCCGTCCAACTCCCCTGTCACTCATGTAGCTGCCAATACCCAGCCTGGTCTGGCCACTCCTGCTGTGATCACAGTTACTGCAAATAGGTTGTTTGCTGTAAACAAGTGGCATAATCTTCCAGGTAAGTATATTTGAGTAAGTAGCGTAAGAAATCCCTGCTACTAAGTAGTATTTCTGTTATCTGTTTCAGAATTTGCTGTAGAAAGAGTTAAATTTTAAGAGGTAAATTTTAAATACCATTTTCCAGGCCATAAAGCAATATGCAAGAGGACAAAATAATATATCACTATTTTATTATAATAAAGTCACACTTGTCCCCTTGAATTTGTTTTCCAATCAGATGTCCGGATAATGGAAGCCTGAACAATATCATGTCCAGAGCAGATTTGAAAGTACACACAACTTGCCTGAAATCTGTTCTGCTAGCTTTTTCTTGTTGATTATGAAAACCATGACCTAATCTTAAAGCCATTCAATCTGTATTAGAAGATAAAAATACATGGGAAGTCTGCATCTTCTGCAAGTTAAACATCCCAAAGTTATTAGATGCTCATATATTTGCCAGTATGAAAGGGAAACAACATATTCATATGCATAGCAACCAATCAAATTAATTACCTTTAAAAAATGTGTTGGACTTGAGAATATAGCCGTTCTGTTTTCAATTCCAGTACCCTCTAATCCTTAAGGGACTCATCCTCTTTTTCTAACTATGACAGCTTCAAGCCTGAGCCCTGAAAGGTAGTTTATTTCTTGTGCTCTGCAGTAAATTCCTGCAAAGGCTTTTCAACAAAGGGAAAAAAAATGGCTTAAATAACTTAAGTAGAAGATATTTGCGCTAGAGAAATTCTTGCTAAGAAATTTGATACCCATTTGATACGAAGGGTCCTTGATTACATTAAAAAAGAAAAGCAAGATGACTCCCACAGTTTTTTGCTAACTCTTAGAAATTACCTCTCAACGTTGTGCAAATAGAAACATCTACGTATTATTTCCCACACCCAAGAAAGGTTTAAAAAGAGAGGTGGGAAGGAAGAGGGGAGGGGAGGGGACTAGTTAACAAGTCACGAGCAGAAGCTATTGATGATGCTCTTTTCATTTGTTTGGACGGAGGATGACAATATCCTCTCATGCCTTGGATGTGTGACCTTGTGCAGATAATCCTCAGGCTGTTAAAAAACAAAAAAAAAAGAAAAGAAAAATTAGAAAATTAGATGTCCCTCTGTAGGGATGTCCAGCAGTCATGGGAAGAGAAGAGGTCTTCCAGTGGTAGGAGTTATATTTGATTTCCTCATGGGCCTGCTGACTGATGATCTATAAGCAAGCAACCAATTGTTGTGAATAGCAGCCTTCAGGGTGTTTTTTTTCTCACCTCAGAAAGGCAGGGTGGTAAGCTGTATGTTTGCATCTGTTTCTTAATATAGAGCTTTTTAGCAGTTGTTCTCTGTTTACAAAAAGCTCAATAAAGCAAATAAACCCAAGCAGACCTCAAAAAACCTCCCCCCCTTAGCTTTCTAAGAGCAAACTGATCTAACTGCTGACTGTGAAAAGAATACTGCCCTTAAGAGTTCTGGATCTGGATTCTTGAAACTAACCTGCATTATTATTGCCTTCAAATGTTAGACCAAAATGGAGCTTTGCTGGAGTTYGAGGGCAGGTGTCATCACTACTGTGCATCCTGCTGCGGGCTTAGCATTCTCTTTACTAATGAGGCATCATGATAAGAAAGTTAAGTTGCCAAGTGACCAGTTGTCACTSATGTGTAATTAAAAATCCCATTCCTGCTTTCGTATGCGAGTTTGGGACTTTAATGACAGCTAATGGCCCTGGTACCCAACAGAGTAGCCCTGTTTTGGCACGAGACCTTCATCGTGTTTGTTACATGGTAATGGTTCGTTACAGCAGAGCTCTGACTTCTGTATTACTCCTGCAACCTGCTATTTCTATTGAGCTACGCCTTGGGGGGCGGGTGTGGAAATCATGGGTGTAAAAATTTAACCATTATTTTTATTTCCACTTCCAAGAATGTCTTGTGGACTTTATGATTTTTTGTTTGTTTGCTTGGGTTTCATGTTTGTTTATTTTCAGGGAAGCTGTGAAAAAAGGCTCTTTTTAACACCAAAGGAAAATTCAGGATGTAAACATTTCACTGGCATACCAGGTGCCCAGATGAAATATGGGTCTGCARAATTATATATTAACTTTAATCCAAACTTGCAAATAAATGAATTGTGGTGATGGATGAAACATTAAATAYTGCACGACTAGGAGATTTCCCTATCTCCATCATAAACTGACTTTTTTTTCAAGTCTTTTGTGCTTCACTTGTTCAAAGCAGTGCTTTAAAAAGTAAAGGGGAAAACAGTATTTGCTACAGTCAGCAGATGGTTGTCACATTTTGTTTTCAGTGCTCTTTACCACTTAATTTTGTTTTGCTGCGGCAGGAGAGGTTGCCAGTAAAGCATCTGCTAGAGCTTATGGCTCAGGACCGGAGCTGCTGCTGATGGCATACGTTCAGAATAGCACCAATCTAAAATAAATGTTTAATAAGCAGCCTGTAAAAGCACCTGGATTTTTTGTGTGCTTGTTTTTGTTTTGTTTTTTTGTTTTTTTGTTTTTTTTTTAATTCAGTTGATGCAGAAGAATCTTGGATGGTTAGAAAAATGGATGCGGCTTTGATTTATACAATTTGTATGCTGTGGATATGAAAAAACAGCAGAGTTTTAAAATCTTCTCTCTTGAATTCCAGCTCATCAAGGTGCTGTACAAGACCAGCCCTACCAGCTGCCAGTGGAAATCGATCCTCTCATAGGTCTGTCACTTCCTTCTCTCTTTGCGATTCATTAAGCTCTGTATGGTGGCCCTGAAGTGTAGATTACGGTTGTTTTTCACTTGCTGGTTGCTGGGAATGGAATTTTCCTGATAAACCATTTGCATGCAAATTGGAATGCAATGAGCTGTGGCTATGCTGGTATTTCATCAACTCCCCCTCGTTGGTTTGCCTAATTTGAACAGGCCTAGGACGCGTGTCAGTGAAAATTAATATGGATGCTGTAATAATGTGTGATTGAGAATGTGCATGAAGTACTGTCAGGATAATATTGGATCTTTTCATCACTCAGACTTGTTGATGAGCAGGAGCGAGGCACGTTATGATGAATTGGTGYGCTGGTAATGTGATGGGGCTCCTTTGCTGAGGAAATTTTCATAATAACAGTGGGGTTCTTAACTGCATCGTCTTGTGAAAAATAAAACCACCGTGCCAGGGTTTCATCATTAAAGGAGATCAATCCTTTCTCCATAGACCTGCTGTTCAGGCTGAGGGGATTAATGTGTAATTGCAAAGCAGCTTCCGAGCTGAAATATATTGCCCACTCAGTTTTAGTATTAAGATATTAGTATTCATTTTTCAAGGGTACTGCATCTTTTGATCACCATCACCAGTTACATTTGTATATATTTTTCCTTTATTAAAAAAGGGTGGAGGATGTCTGCCTTGTATTTAATGACTCAGTGTAACAGATTCAATTTATGACTTTTTATTATAGAGGCTTATTAGTTTATACAGAGCTGATTTTTCTATTAGCATGATAGAGGTTGGTCTGTTGTTTCATTATGGGCCCATATTTGGGGGAATGTAAATTTTGACTACAATTTAGAGATTCATAACGTGACAAGTGTAACCCTAAATGTAATTAAAAAAGAAAAAAAAAGAAAAAAAAACAACAGAACAACCCAAACTGCAAACACATCATATGGCAATCCACAGGAAGCAGAAAGAGGAGGAAAAGTGAACAAAAGGGGAAGTGACCAATTATTCAAGCATGGAAAAAATCAGAGCAAAAATGAACTTGTCTGAATAGGCTGAAATGACAGATCTGTCAACCAGCAAGAATTAAATTTCAAAACTAATATGCACATCACAGCAGGAATTGTATAGTGCCTGTCTATAGATATAGACTGTTGCTATGTAGACATTTTGCTAGGTAAACTCTGTGAAATTAATTCAGGAGTAGTATGAGCATGTTAAACTGTTTTCTAGAGCTGATAAAAATCTTTTTTTCCAAAGTTTTTGAAATCAATTCCCTCTGAATAATGCAATACCTGCAATTGATGGAGAGGAGGACATATGCTGTAACTCCCCTTTTCTTCTGCAAGTGCATTTTGTCCGAATAATGTTTGATCAAAAAATGTATATTCTACTTTAAAACCAAACAGTCTTAAAAATAGAGATAAATATCATAGCAAAACATAAATTACAAGGGCCTGTCTGACTACATCCCCTACACATTGCAAAGAATATTAGAAAAGCATAATGTTCATTTTCATTTATRTTTTTCATAATTTTGAGAGTTTTTAGTTCCATTTACAGCCATACAGCAATTAACTGAAAAATATTTTGKTTTTTTTGTTCAGTATAAATGCATATAAAATGAAATAATAAATAAAAGTTTACAGCTCTGAAAAATGGTTTAATATTCTTTTCATACACCAGATCTCAAATCAGCCTTGTGATTACATTGGGTGTAGTTAAAAAGGTTTAAATGTTTCTCTGTCACTGTTAAGTAGCATCATTGGGTACAGGCAAGTAATTATGTACTTAATATTAAAGGTTCTTAATTGTGGCTAGACACATTTACCGAGAAATGGCACCTAAGAGGACCACAAAATTACACTTTTATGGTTATAGCAGGAATCTTGTTGCTGCCTTAGTCATAAGGAGAGATTCATGCTGTCAATGTTTTCCAGCTGCACAGGAAGGTATAAAGCAACACTGTCTGATATGACATAGATTTTAGACCTCTTTTTTGGGCAAAGTTTTTTGAAGATCTCACCCACACTAATTTTGTCACTGCAAAGGTTTCTGGGCTATTATTTGCCATTATTTTGTCGTGGTAATGCAAATGCTTCCTGGTGCATTTATGAAGTATTGCGATTCTTATCTACGTGGCCCCGGAGGGGATCAAGGCCCCTTTCKGTGTTTACTTGGAGATCATGTGGCAGTGCCTTGCTAAATTATTTGCTACTCATGTGGGCAAGACKGCATCAACACTGTATACCTAACTAAAGCAAAAATAAATTTAAGCATTTGATGTAAAGTAAATAGAATAAGGCCAAGGCTTAAGAGCTGGTTAGCCTGTGAGAAGGGAAAGAAGATAAAGAATAAGGAGTAGAGAAGAGGACTAGGAATACCAGGAYGGGGAAAGGTGCAGGGACCAGCAGGAATGGAAATACTAGAGCTTGCAAGCAGTGGACAGRAAGGCTCAGAAGCACTCAGGCTCCTGGGGCAGGTTTTCTATTCGGAGAAAAGGTGCTGAAATTCTCCTGAGTGTAGGACTTTCATGATATTATCTATATGGAYCCATGTATATACATTAGTTAGTAATGACAATATAATAGGAAAATGTGTTTATTTTTTTCAGTACAAGTGCAAGGTTATATGGAGAAAAAAAAGAAGAGATAAATATTTTTTTTCTCAAATCTGAAGATTCTAGTAATAAGATAGCTAATTTTTGTRCAGTGCTTGAAGAAGGTGAAGTGCTCCATAAGAGCCTGATGGTATTATTTACTGTAGTCATTATTTTTAAATTACAATACTTGTAATGAGACACAAGTTCTGTACAATTTTCTGTGCAGACRCAGTTCCTCTACAATATCTTCTGGTTATGAAATCATAATTCTCTTGTCTGCTACATATAAGCCATGTGTAGCACCATAGTTATGCATATATTTRTAGATGCTGTCTTACTGTTAAATTTCTTGCTTTTGTTTATTCATTTTTATTTTTCTAGACTAGAAGAACTTTGGAGGGAAGGAAGCATTTTACATTTTTATATACCCTTCAGTTTTGCCATTTTTCCTTTATATTTGTCAATCATATTTTATTTGAAGGGATTTCTTCCATTTTAGAAATATATACTATGAGGAATTATCATTGTTCCCAGAAGTGTAATGAGCGTTTTATAGTAAAAATAGAAAGAAAATGTGCCTGCCATGGAAAACAAGTAACAGCAGTAAGAAATAGTTCTATTGTGAACATATGGGTTCTGAAATGTGGTTTTATTCTGTGCATATAGATGCTAAATATCTTCATTTATCTGTCTTCCTCTTTAGCCAGCAATACAGGCATGCACAGAAGGCAAATCACAGACCTTTTAGACCAAAGCATTCAGGTGCATTCCCAGTGTTTCGTCATCACCTCTGACAATCGTTACATCTTGGTCTGTGGCTTCTGGGACAAGAGCTTCCGAGTTTATTCTACTGATTCAGGTAAATTCATGTTTAAAATAGCCTAACAAATAGAAATAAAATAGGATAAAAAAATAGAATAGCCTAAAGAATTTTTTGTTTATCATAAACCTCCATTTTCAAATGAGGAAAAAGCATGGGATGGGCAGTAGGAAATAGGCTATATATTAATTTCCTATTAATAATGTTTGCTAAATCTTCTCTCTACTGGTACAGTATGCCATCAGTTCTGTGGAAAAAAATGCAAGGCAAGGAGCTCTTGTGTAGGCACAACATCACTTTTAGAAACCATGTGATTTTGTGATAGACATGCTGATTTTTACACTGCAATTTCACAAGTAAACTTGTCTAATGAATTTTTGTGAAGCTTTGCATGCTAAAAGAATTAATTGTTCTTCAAGCACTTACTAGGATTTAACCTTGACAACTCCGAGCACTGGAGGAAAAAAAAAACTATTTAAAGGAATACAGGCAAGCATAATAAAAAGTAGAAAAGCTGATAGCTTCAGTTAAAAAAAATCTTGAAAATAGATAAAAAAAAAAATACTTACGAAGACCTTTGAAAATAAGGTATAATATCAAAATTGATTTGGCACCACTGGATTCTTTCATACAGCATAAACTGATCAATAAAATGGCAGGAGTTAAATTACTCTGTCAGCTTGCATGTATTCAAACAGTTGAAGTCATGCATGTGTCATGCTAAATAGAAAAGAATCTTTCCACATAAATGCTGTGGGGCTGCAAAAACCATGGAGCCCTAGAAAAAAATAGGTATGATTTTTTTCCCTTTCATTATCTTATAATGGGAATAGCGACCTCAGTGCAAGGTATTTCTTTGGGATTAATGACCCAGTATGGTTAATGTGTGTGTGTGTGTGCGTGCGCCATCAAGCTTTCCAGTAGGTTATTAATCCCTAGGGAATATGCTACATGTTTGTCATCATTTCTTAAATATATTAGTTAACAGTGTTTTTCAAACTTGGCGAACCAAAATATGTTATAAAACAGAAGGGTCTTTAATGAAAATCTGTGAAGAGTAGACCACATGGCATATTTTGGCAGTACAATATATTTGTCATKTTTTGCAATTTTAGAACCTCTGCTACAAATGAGAAATTCCACTTACCTTATGTTGCCTGACTACAATTAATTTTACAGGCATCTTTTTAGACTCTTCTTAGGTTAATTTTCTTACTGATACAAGTAAGCTCGCATGAAAGCTGGCAAATAAAAGGAGATCGTTAAAGACTAGCAACGATTTAAAAAAAAATCATTGTATATTCCTGATTTATGTAAATAGTTAACTTTTTTTTTTAATAATAGAGGAAGCATTTTATTTATATCTATGAAGAAAGCTGGAAGGAAGCTGGTATTATGTCGTTAGCTTTGTCCTGGGTCTTACTTCCTCTCTGTGCAAGTCAGAGACCATCGGCATCTCAATTTTAGTATAACTAGTTGCGATCTGAAACAAAATATATTTGTGAAAAAAAGTTGCAATGAGTCTTCAGGTGTCTTCTGTTTGGCAATATTAAATACAGCAACTCAGCTCTAGTTGAATTCAAGTAAATTGTCTTTTATTTTGTTTGGAATTAAACTGAGAATATAGCAGTGAGATACTCAGAAATGGGGAAAACAGCAAGGAAAAAAATGATGTGATCAGTAATGCATAATGGCAAGTTATCACAAGTGTTGAATTCAATTATATTTTAGCACTCACACACAAAAAAGGAACCTTTTTCTTATTAGATTTTGGTTTTTTTTTTTTTTTTTTAAACAGGAAATACTTTAAACATAAATCATAAGTTCTCAGCACAACTAGTACAGCAGAAGCACAATAAAACCTTCCTCCAGCACTGGGAATGATTTTCAGACAGCTCTTGAGATTCAGTAGTACAGAGACTTGACTCTGATTTTTCTCTTAATTAAAACATTAACTAGAAAATTTGTTCTGTCAGAAGTGGATATCTGAGTGCATATGGTAATGGTTGATATTGCTGCATGGAGAGGACCACTTATATTAAAGGAAACAAATGAAAAAAGCTGAGGAACTCTTACRAGTTTAACAAGAATATATATATATTTGCAAATATAAAAAGGCAAAATTTGATTCTTTCTTTTGATTATTTTGATGAAATTGCATGAACCTTGGCTCTGTGGCAATGAAGTAGAATTAAAAGGCAGTGCAACTACATTAACTGTCAGACAAATAGCTTTGGAAAATGTTTGCTTTCTAGAAGAGAATCTATAGGCATAGACTTTAATTGAAAGAAAAAGAATAGGTATGTATAGCATAAACTTGTGTTCTAACAGTATAACTCACATCAGGTAGTTGAATACCTAGGAGCACATAACTGAAGGATAGATCATGTGGTTAAATTCTTTTCAGATCTAAACTTAATAATGGACTTTTTTTTTTTTTTTGTGAGACTTTTTAAATATATACTTGATTGACCCATTTTTAAACACTTAGCCAAAGTTGAATTTTTCTGGATGTTCCCTTCATTTTAGCATTTATGTATCCATCAGGAGTCCGGGTGTTTGTACTATATGCAATAGATAAGAATTTCTTCTGCTAGGTCTGGACTTTTGGGCTTTACAGAAATTCCTAAAAAAGGATACTGGTTGAAATAATTGGAAGTGCATTAAAGGCGACAGATAAACAGGCTCAAATGTATTTTTTTAACTGAATCTGTGCACTTTCTCTGTTTAAGGAGATGCTCAAATAGTTGGATATGTTTGATTTTCTAGGCTTCTCTTGTATGATTGTACATCTCATACGATCTGTGTCCTAATTATTCAGGTGCATCTTCTGATTCCATTGTTCATGTCATTGTCAGACTTTCATTTTACTGTGTCTTTCCTCCTTAAACTGCCATAAAAGCAAATACCATCATGTTTCCTGGACTGTAAAATGGATGTAAATATATAGAATAAGAGCAAATCTTCTGGCATTTTTGGACTTCAAATTAACATACAATCTTCTGTATGGATTATTGCATTTTCAGAAAAGTTTCCACAAAATCAAGAAAAAAGTACTCTTCTGTACTTCTCAGCTATTCAGCTGTAGCTCCACTTAGAACTTTTTWAAAAGATTTAGGTATAAGGTATATCTAAAATACCTTACAATGTATTCAATATGCCTTAGTAAAAGCAATACTGTCAAAGCATAATCAATTTTATGTGTTTTAGGTAAACTGATGCAAGTAGTATTTGGACACTGGGATGTTGTAACCTGCCTTGCTCGCTCTGAATCGTATATTGGAGGAAATTGTTACATTCTCTCAGGATCGCGTGATGCAACCTTGCTGCTCTGGTATTGGAATGGCAAAACCAACATCATCGGTGACAATCCGAGTGGTAAGCAAAGCCTGGTCTATAAGGAAGTTGTCTAAAATGGCTTATATCTTGCATGACAATTTTAGATTACATTAATATAAAAGCATAACATTTCTGTAGTTATTTGCAGTTCTAGTTTAAATAGTTGGACGAATGCAGTGCTTGTTCTTCTACACAAGTAGAACTCATTCATAAGGTTTTAAGATAGTGAACATCTAGGGAAATGTAATGAATACATTTTTTTCTTGTCACTCTCACTCAGCTGAAAGGAGATTGGATTTGGGAGTGAGAGAATTACCATGCATCACTTAAAACAGACTGTACCCTGTGCCACTACAATCTCATGTGTGTAGCTCCTGACACTTCACTCGCAGCACTATCCCAACTATCAATAAAGTTTCCCCAGTACTGCCTTTCAATGTAGAGTAAGGTCACTGTAATGAGATGTGTAATGATTTGAGCAGGACATTTAGGTGAAAGGAGGACAGACACATGGGATGGATTAAAGAAGCAGGCTATGACTTTATTAATTTAACACTTTGGTAGGGTGCTACGTGCCTAATCCTTGCTCCCCCRTACTAGGCATTTTAATTGGTTCCAGTGCAAGCGACAGGGCTCAAACCATATAACCAGACTAATAACTCTGAGTAGCCCTGCTTCAGCCTAATTCAATGTTAACCCCTCCACACCCAAATTCACATCACAGTCCTCATCCCTTTCATCTTGCATGTATCTCCAATGAATCCCAAACCTTTTTACTCATCACTTCCTAAGAAAAACAGCGAAGCTCAATGTCTGTCGAACCCAACTAAATCTGTATTACAGAACAGGAAAAGCAGAAAGTGATCGTGATATCATTCCAGTTTSATTCCACATAAAAAATTAATTCCTCATTCCCAGAATACGGAAAAAGACAGGCATGCAGCTGTCCTGAAAGCCTGGATGAGACAGCTCACAAAAGTAAGAGACTTTTGAGAAAGCTGGTAAAATCATAAATAGGTGAATGGAGGGGCATGTCATGGCCAAATAGTGCTCCCCTTCCCCAGTATCAGCCAAAATGAAAACGCCCTGAAGAGTGAGAAGCAGCATATTCTGTCAACTAAAGTTGCTTCTGTAGGACTCATAAAGAAGCATAACTGCATGAATATTAGCATGAATACCTGAATTGAACTGAAAAATTCATTTATGGTCGCTGTGCATTTCAAAATTGTTCAATGATACTGTTCAATGATAACTCACAGAGATGCAGAGACTTCAGGCAGGTGATGTGAGCAAACTGTCAGCAAACTGTCATTTGAACTGGCTGATTCAAAGAAAGGGATGGCTAGCAGAATTTTATGAGCATCTTTAAAAAAGATTGCTTTGGTTGRGGGTCAAAATCTTTGTGGATACTTTTTTGCAGCCTATCAGTTTAAAGAAAATGCAAACTCTGTACTATTTCCACAGAGCTTGTAAACATAAAAACTCCAGAAAGCCTGCAAGAGAAACAAGACAGATCATACAGGCACAGCCTGTAAATTCTGAAGAGCAAAGCTCTCCTTTTGAGGCAAAATGCTCTACATACTTGACTGCTGTGAAGCAGCCAGCATTTGTGCCTCCTTCCATAGGTTTCACAGCCTGCAGGTGGAGCYCCTCTTTCCCACTCTGTCAGCCTGTCCTGGGTGGTTCTTTCTGGTGAATATTTGCCAGCCTTGCCTGCGTGGTGAGCAAGACCTTGAGGCTGTGGGCTGCTTTATGGCCAACTGATCACGTACTGGGGTTTTGTAGCCTTATTGGCTAGAATAAATCTGTGTTTTATTGTTATAAACCATTGTCCTTCTTCACAAAAGCAAATTTCTAAATTTTGCATTTTTCAAAGTTAATACTGGCTTATTTTAAGTACTGTTCTCCTTGTTTGCAGTATTAATAGAACTTATATTAGTGCTTATAGGTAAAGTGCTATAGCTCCTTTTACTATTTGCAATTATTTAGATTTGTGTGTGTGTGTGATCTAGCCAGCCTTGGAGGACTTTGTGTTGAATCGCAATCTCATGGTACTATACATAGACCTATATGTGTCTATAGCAAAGAGACAGTCTCTGTTTCGAAGAGATGAAAGTCTGGGATTTTAATTTTTCCCAGAAATTGCTTAATAGCTTTCTATAGGCATCTCTGTTC